TAATCTGTGGGCCTCTCTTTTCACACTGCATTCCCAATGAGCTGTGTGTTGGCCTGGTGTTGTTGCCTGTGATTTTAATGAAGATTATTCTTGTAACACGACAGTCGCCTGTTTGCTCCTATTCTACCCTAAATATTTTCTCTTCAAAAGGAGAATTTTTGTTTTCTTTCAAGGGATCTGTTCAGCATTTATCTTTTATTTTAAAAGTATTTCTTTTGCAGGTCAATCACCAGTTTATCATGGATGTAATTAAATCATTATTTGGATGTTGGATAATCAGATAACAGGTTTTCTGAGTTGTTGTTTTCAAATTAAACATTCACCATCATGTCAACCCAGTTATCGATTAAACAATACACAGCTGTGACTTGGTAATTAGTGCTTATTTTCATCCTGTCCAAGCAATGTAAGGCTCGCATGAAATAGACAAAGCTTAAGTTACTGGATTGGTGCCTTCTATTTTCTATTGTTCAGGTTTAGGCTGATGCTCTGGAAAACCTCAGAGAATTCCCAAAGGAGTAAGTGCACACTTCATGGCACGGCCACTCTTAAAATGGAACTGATGTTTTATAAATAATTTCAAAGTTACAAACATCAGCCTCACAATCACAGCGATTCAATGATATTCATTTGGCATAAGTCAGTTTCATTTCTGTGTGCTTTTCATCAGAAATGGCTTAAAAAGTAGAGTTAGTCTGAATTTTTCATGCCATGGGCTTACTGGGGACAGTGGCCATGTTCTTCACTTGCAGACGTCTGACAGTGCATGGCAGCAGAAATAACAAAATGGTCACAAACCCCAACTGCACTCCCCAGGTCACACAGGCTCTTTAAATTTTAAAGGGACTAGCATCAAACCAAACAGTTGATAACAGGTCAGAAGCAGGTGATAAAAGAAGTTTTCGTGGGGACATTAGCCTTTCCACTAACTTTGTGATTCCTGACATTATATCCCCAACATTTGTTCAGTCAAATAATAAACATCAGAGTGCATGGAGCAGTTGTAGGCATTACTCCCAGAGACTGTAGTACCCAGAGGATTACAGTAGTGTTACTTTGCTACAGAATTGGTATGAAATAAAATTCACACATTTATAATTATGCATGAATTTTACATAGCATCATCTGTATTCAAGCTATTAGTTAGTTTTTTGAAAGGGGGGAACTGAATTGAGCAGTGTGGATGGCTCATGGTTCATTCTCCCATAGATTTATTATTTCCATAGGAGTGTGTTAATTACCATACTGCCATTGTCCTGTGATGTAGAAACAACTGACAGGAATAGAAAAGACGGAAAGATAAAAATAACTTACAACAACACACGCTTTTACCCCAATGCAGGAATATCAAATTAATGATCTCTCGCACAGGACTGTGGTTAGGACCTCGCAACAAACTGCATATTGAATAATAAAAAATAAAAAAATGTGATAAATTTGAGTAGTATGCAGTGACATCACAAAACAACAACTGTGAATAAATTCACTGTGAAACAAATACGATTAAAAATTTATTTTACAAAAAATCTTTATGTGTTATTCTGCCATTTATATTTCTGCAAACTGCAGAACAGTGTAACTTTGTTCAATAAGAAAGTAATTGGAGAATGTATTTAAATGGTTAAATATTGCAATAGAAAAGTAAAATGTTGGCTCTTAATAAGCTATAATCTTTTTTTTTGTGCTCTGCTCTAGATAAAAAAGCACATGTATGAACATGTGTTTTGAGTGAATCATCTCTAGGCTCAGGTATGATATCAGCACAGGAGCCATGTCCCTTTTATTTCCACTGAACATCATGATCACCTGTCTTGAGGTTAATTTGCTGTGAGCTTTGTGGTAAAGAATCACGGTTTGGGTCTGGTCTGGCTGGGCAACCCTTAAAGGACATCAATAATGAGCAGGTGTAGGAGTGCACTTCTGCGTAGACGCGTGTCTTGGTGTGTCCAGGGAGGACGGCTAATAAGGGTTTAAAAGCCACAACTGTCCACTCCGCCCCTTAGCAGGCCTCCAGCTGTCTTTTCTGTCAGAGAGCACCCTGATTCCCTCTGACAGAGCAGATCACTGATGGCAGGAAACCACAGGGGGCGATAGTTATGTTAGCATAGCACAAAGCACCACCACAATTGATCAGATTAGTCATGCTAGTAATTAAAGACTTAAGGTAAATACAGGTTTTGTCTTTTTTTTTTTTTTTTTAAATCAAAGAGCCATGAGGAAGGGAAGAAATACTTCACTTTGATTTATTGATGGAAATTGCAATGTGACATCTGGCAAACAACATATAAATAACTTAAAGGCCATCTTAAATGCATTCCCATGAAATTTTTAGTGTCGCTGTAATATAAGCCACTACCTGTCATGAATCCCAAATAACCTTGGCTCTATCCTCTTAGTTCAGCCCAGTGTGCCTCATTCCTTATTACTGCCCTGACAAGGAAATGTTTACCCATCCGACAAGAGACAAGCCATTTCATAGTCGGAAAAAGCAATTTCACCTGACTGGAGTAGCACACTATGTCCCCATATCCTTGCTGGCTATAATTTTGTTGTCATTTTGTGTGCTGTGATCATATCATTGAAGTGACAGTACTGGGCATTAGGTAAAGTCCCTAAGCTGGTGCTCACTTTCAGGCTTTTTCTCTCCTTGTCATTCACATTGATTAGATTAGACCCAGGTGGCAAGCAGATTTCTTTGGCACAACAATAAAAAATGGTGATACAGCGCTTTAAAAAAAAAGCACATTTTTTTATGCTCAACTGAACATTGTTAACCAGAGCTGGCTTTATGAAAAAAATGTTTTTTAAAAAATATATATTTTTGTATTTTTACAGATTATTGAAGGATATTTCTAATGTTGAGATTAGCATCTATTTTTATACTATGACTGCACTAATAATTATTAGATGTATGCATGCATTTATTAACATTTTAGTAAAAAAAAAAAAAAAAAATGTTCATAGGTACCCAGTGCATTAAGCTTAGTCTGGGGGGAACAAGGCTGGTGGCAGAGATCCTAACCTGCACTATGCTATCTCCCCTGAGGGACAAGCCTGGCCACGGGCATAACAAATCAGCCCCCCCTCCTGTTTGGTTATGTCCACTAGCTAGCTGAGCCAATAGAAAGAGAGGACTTAGTCTGTTAAATAAAGCACCTGGGGAAACAAACTGAGTTGCTGCACGGGTGCTCAACAATTGGTTTGTTCAGGGGGGGAAAAAACACACGTCTATTTTGCTTATTAAAGATCAGTGATGGAAGTGAACCATAATCCTGTAATGAGGAGAGCAGAGAGTGGCCTCTTTTGCTTGGGCACAGACAAGCCTGTGCTTGCATGTTTCACAGGAATAGATTGCTGGACCCTATAGCCCTACTGTAATGACCCCTCTTGTTAGCTTCAGAGATTCATGGCTCTTCATTAGAGATACAAACTCGTGAATGTACCCACCAGTGAAATAGGTCTCGATCGGCCTTCTCTTAACCTTGTCTAGTTCAGATTGTGCAATACACACTTGCTGGTTAATGACACCGCAGTATAACTAAACCAAAAGCTATTCAGTGAAGAGGAAATTACCCGCTTTTGAGGCCATAGTCAGTGATGTTATTGTACTGCTTTATATTGAGAGGTGTTTCTAGTATTTTGTATATTTTATATACACGAACACGGATATTTAGAAACACCTCTTAATGTAATGCAACTGAATACATCTCCATAAACTACAGCTTAAAAAGGCTCCATTAAGGTTGCATTGAATTGTCCAGGTGTACCCAGTGTAATGGAAATATATCGATCCAGTGCAATTTAAAAAGGTCTTCTTACAATCACAGGATGGACTGTGTATCAAACCACTGCCCTTGAAGAGCAGTTTGTGTTAACTTGACAATAACCTTGTTAGTAAGTTAAGCAGGAAGGTGTTTATACTGGCTGCAGCTGCTTGGGACTCAGACACTTTATTTCATCTTCTGAATCAACATCGTCCTGACAAAATTTCATTACACTGCAGTGAGGGCTTCAAAAGTCTAATTAAATGACAGAACATTCTTCATGTTCTTCTCTGTTTTAATTATATACTAAATTACAATAAACTTCTTCTCCTAGAGAGACCTGCTGACATCAAATTTGATCTTTATTTGAAAATAATTTGGTGGAAAATGCTTCCTTAATATGTATTTTATATGGCACTAACTCTTTATTTCTTCAAAAGATTTGTGGTTTTATTACATTACATTAAAATAATCTTAAATCAACAGTCCCAAACATGTCTGGTGTTTTCAGATTTCCCTTTACCTCCTGTGAGATGCATTTGTCACAGCAGCCCTGCTATCAGTCCGCTGGTTCATAACTTTAGGGCATAAAATATTAACCAGCACTGGGACTCATAAACACATCTTCAGTGGGACGCCATGATTTCACGCTATATCACAAACATTTTAAGGCATCAGATGCACTGCCTGTCATGGACTGTCATTTTTGGTGTGTTAATAATATATCTTGGTTCCTTCGGCAGACATACTTTGGCACTCATAGCACATAAATAGGTAAATAACGCGGATAAATAGGTAAATAACGCAGTTGACGTTAGTGCTGACAGCAGAGAACAACATGTATAGCCATTATCCTTTTTATCTTTACTTTTTTGTTTGTTTTTCTTCATATATTACAAAAAAAGAGTCGCGGTCCATATGTTTTAATCAAATATAGGCCCATGTCACACTACAAACAAATCACTTTGCTCACAGCGCTCCACAGATTGTTCTAATTAAGATCTGTCTAATTAAATTACAGCCTTGAGTTAACCAATGACAATACTTGTTTCATTAGCAAAGCAGGGAGAGTGATGGAAAGAAAATCCTTCCTGATTGCAGGATGGTGTCAATTGGCTAATTTGCTGCCTTCGGTACCTCAAGTCATAGCAAGGCGTTTTCATAGTGTTAGATTAGGAAAGGCGTGTGCAAACGCTTGTGATATAGGTTGAGCTAATAGTGGCTTCCTATTGAGCTATGCAGGTCGAGAATTGCATCTCGCCCGCGAGTGATCTCTCCAAGAAATTTATGAATGTGGGCAGTGGCTTTTCGAGCTCCGATGGATCAGAGCTTTCGTTGCAGGACCATCCTATTATATGTGCAAGTGACAACCTGGAGAGAAGTTCACCTCTGAAAAAAAACTCTAGGGAGATGACGAATCAGTCAGAGGCAGACAATTTTCCCGACTCCAAGGACGCATCAGGGGACGTCCAGAGGGGCAAACTCTCTCCTGATCTTCACGGAGTCTCTGACATCCGTCATAATTTCGATGGATCTGCAGGAGAAAGGTGCATCTTTTCTCCATCTACCCAGCCACAGTCAGTCTCAGCAGCTCCCAGTGCCATGTTCCCTTACCCGAGCCAGCATGGACCAGCGCACCCGGCTTTCTCTATTGGAAGTCCCAGCCGTTATATGGCCCATCACCCGGTCATAACTAATGGAGCTTACAACAGCCTTCTGACCAACACTTCTCCGCAAGGCTACCCGGCGGCGGGCTACCCTTACGCGCAACAGTATGGACACACTTACCAAGGAGGGGCTTTTTACCAGTTCTCCACGGCGCAAGCAGGACTGGTTCCGGGGAAAGCGCAGGTGTATCTGTGCAACAGGGCCCTGTGGCTGAAGTTTCACAGACACCAAACAGAGATGATCATCACAAAGCAAGGACGGTAAGTGCGCGCACACGGACTTATCTTTCACACACCTGCAGAATTTGTCGATTTGTTGGCTACACCACTGTGAAGCTTTTGTTTCCAAAGAGCACAATTGTAACACCGAATCGCTTTTTTCCCCCAAATAAAAAGAATAACGGACTTGGCCTCACACCAAGGCAAGCTCATAAGAAAAAAAACAGGGGATCTAATCTGATTTTTGTGCCTTTTTTTGTCACGAGAGGCGTTTTCTAAATCTGTGTTCCTTTATTATCCGCAGACGAATGTTCCCATTTTTAAGCTTCAACATTTCTGGCCTTGACCCAACTGCTCACTACAATATATTTGTGGATGTGATACTTGCTGATCCAAATCACTGGCGATTTCAAGGAGGCAAGTGGGTGCCATGTGGAAAAGCAGACACAAATGTAATAGGTATTAGAATTTAATTATTCCCACATTTAATGCAACATTAACAATTTTACATTTTTGTTTGGAAAAAGTTTGACCACTGTATGTGGTTAAAAATTCAAATTTTAAAAATCTTGGCAAACTAATTTATTTTAAATAATGAACCATGGAATCATTTTTTTTCTTTTTCTGTTTTCTTTTTAAGGAAATAGGGTTTATATGCACCCGGACTCACCAAATACCGGTGCGCACTGGATGCGTCAAGAAATATCATTTGGAAAGCTAAAGCTTACAAACAACAAAGGTGCCTCCAACAACACGGGCCAGGTAATGCAACATATCATATCCAAAGCTTCAATTATTATAGTTATAATTATCATTATTTATATGATGCAGATGGGAACATGTTTCCCCTTTACGTTCTGTCTTGTCCAGTGGCTTACAGTTTGAACAGGGCTGGTTTACTGTGTTACTGGCTGTATCATTTACACCGCAACAACAGCAGCTCAGTCTTATTACAATAATCATAAAAATAATGATAATATCGAACTAAATGAGTTGAGTATCTTTAATCATCTATCCAAAGTTTGATGCTGAGTTTCTGACTTTCGTCTTTAATTGAATCTCCAGATGGTGGTTCTCCAGTCTCTCCACAAGTACCAGCCCAGGCTCCATGTGGTGGAAGTAAACGAGGATGGGACAGAGGACACCAGCCAACCAGGAAGAGTCCAGACTTTCACCTTCACAGAAACGCAATTCATCGCAGTCACAGCTTACCAGAATACCGATGTACGAGCACTTCATATTTAACACAACACTACCCACCCAAAGAAGTCTCTTTCATTTAAAAAAAAAACTAATTTGTTATTATTGGAAAAAGAGACTGAATTTTCTACATTTTAAAATATTATTTATTGTACTTTATTTTATTTTATGTTGAAACAAAGTAAAACGGTGCGGATTTCAATGGGATTCATAAAAAAAGGCTCAAACTCTGGCAAGACGTCGAGTGGGAATTACCTCTTCCTATTGGCACCATTTCTCACACAATTTAAAAACTAAATAAGAAATACTATTTTTGAGATTTAGGCTGCAGTGCGCTGCAAACACACGGATTTGTTTTCTAATCAGTGCATTATTTTCCCACAGATTACGCAACTGAAAATTGACCACAATCCGTTTGCTAAAGGATTTCGGGACAACTATGACACGTAAGATTTTCTTTCTTCTTAATATTTATTAACTTTTATTCGATTGTAATTTTGTTATTTGATGCCTCTGTGTTTTTACTACATGCTGTTGTGATCTGAATACATACAAATAACCAAGTTAACTCTTATTAAAGAGTTTAAATACAATAAGTCTGCTGAGTATTTAATATTTGCTCTCCAAATTAGAGGATGCTCCGAAGATTTCCAAAATAAATCGAACATGGGCCTAAAAAATGAGTGGTTTTGACTGCAACTGAAGCAAGATATTTTCAATTTAAAAGCCAGAAATTACATATAAAAAATGAACAAGAAACCCCACATTTATATTCATACAGTATATTCGTAAGAATTGTTAATTTATAGTCTCTTGGTAACAATATTCCTCGTTAATGTTGTGAGTTTGGCCATTAAAATAATTGCCAATTGACGAGCAATTTTAATATTGATCAGTAAAAATAAGGTGTGAAACAGCTGAACAAAGCGATACATTTTCCTGGTAATGCAACTTTATATCGATAGTTCCTTTTTCTTTCTATAAGGCAGTAGGCCTATTTCGAAGAACTCTCCTTGCGTAAAGATTATATTTGATGCCGTCTGAAACCCTGCGATTATCTCTAAAAAATGCTGCATTAAGGAGATGTGAAAATCTACTAAAGAAAGCAACTGGTAAAATGGATATTGACCTAAACCTACTTCACTTTTCAGACAACCGACCATAGCGCGCAGTTTAGTAACCGAATTGTTTCTCTGTTTTTCTCTCCATCTTTTCAGTGTCTACACAGGCTGCGACATCGACCGCCTAACTCCATCACCGGGTGACTCTCCGCGTTCACAGATCGTGCCGGGTGCGAGATATGCCATGCCTAGCTCTTTCCTGCAGGACCAATTTGTCAGCACTTATGCCAAATCTCGCTTTCACCCTGGCATGGGGACTGGTCCTGGCACGGAGCGCAGCGTCCCACTCGGCAACAGCTTGCTATCCCCGCAGCAAACCGAGGAGCCCACTGTTGCCACCCCCCCGCAGCGATGGTTTGTCACCCCTGCCAACAACCGACTGGACTTTGCTGCCTCGGCATACGNCGCTGCTGATTTCGCCGGTAACGCG